CTGCCTTTGAATGAAGATAAATGACAAGAATCAATAATCCGAAGATTACTTGTTGGTGTATGATCAATTATTTCTGATGGTGTCATTTTTATATTCGGATAAGTTTTTGTTAATATGTCAACGTAAAGAGTGATCTGAGCCTGTTGATGTATACAAATTATAAGAAAAAGTAAAACATTCAAGAGGATGAAATATACAATCATTAATGTCATCAAGTACTAGAGAAAAAAATTAAAGATATAATAAAAGTTTGTTTTATTACTGTTCACCAAATTCCTTTTGTTTTAATCTTGTAATCAATCTAATGATTTTTCATCAATAGAAAGATTATTTTTAAACTAATGGTGAACTGATAACAAATAAATAAGATTAAAAATAAATGCATCAATTAATACAGATTTGAAGAAAATCTATAAAAAAATGTCGAAGAAAGAGAATATGATTTTATCAATAGAATACTCAACAGCGGGAAATCGATATGAATGTTTTCCGTTTAAGATAAGATCAAAAGGTCATACAATAATCTGAAACAACATATATCTTATATGGAAGCCAAAGCTATTATAAAATACAAAGAACTGATTGAAATCTTTTTTTCTATTGAAAGATGATCTTAATATCGAATATTTTAATAGATGACAATATCTATCATCTGAATGACATACGTTGAACCATCGAACATTGATATCTTTCGAATAACCATTCTTATAACCGGCTAATATTTCTTCTCCTTCTTTAGTTGAATGTTCTGAATAGATACGACTATTCACAGCTGGACAAAGGCCTAATTAACATCTGGTAAATAGTTTCATAGTCATAGTCATGACCGTATCGGTTTTTACTTCTATGCTTTTATATCAATCACTGTTTGAAAAAGCAAAATATTGTGAAAAAGTCGAAATCTAACTAATTACCAGGTTGAGTCTGAGTATTGTCTAATACTCGGATCCGAATCGATTCGGTATGTTTGCACTCAGCCATACTTCGGATCGAACACCCGACTGAATTGCAAAACCTTAGCTTTCATCGCCAAGAAAAGTATCAAAATAAATTAATTATTTTTATTTCCAAAAATAAATGCGATTGTATTGTAAAAATCATATCAATTTTATAACAGTAGTTTCATTTTTAATACTTGTATTGCCTTAAGATCAATGAACAGATTGTGCTCCTAGTTGTCCTAGATATTTTTTGTAATTGTTATTCTTTTTTTTTTTGATAGAAAATAATTATTTCTTTACTTGGTCTTTTTTCCACTGATATACTATCGACTGGTAGCAAGGACATCTGTCGTGAGCATTCAACACATTCGAACAAAAAGAAATAGACAATTAATAATAATAATTTTCTTCTATTTTAATTAAAAAAACAAAAAATAATAATCAAGTAAAAATTTTATTGCTTAACACATATTAAACGGGTAATTTGATCATTGTTGTGTGCTACAGATACATGTAAACAATTAATCTGTTCTAGACAGATGTAATGTGAAATGAATTTTATCAATAAAAAAATGAGTCAAACAAAAGTCAATAGAAAATCTTATCATTAAAATAGCCTTCTATTTATTTCACTTAACATGTTCAAAAATAACTCCACTGTAAGTATATATTTTTAGAAAAAAAAATTCTTTTTATATATTATTCTTCTGTAATGACAGACAAGTCATTTTTATTGAATAAGTTTTGTATTTTAGTGTAGAAAAAATTCAAGTTCCCCTTAATTTTCTGAAAAGAAAACGAAGTAGATAGCAAATTCATCTGACAGCTAATGATGATGTTGTAATGACTAAAGTCTTAACTTAAAATTTAAGATAACAAATTGAGTACTTTTTCTATTCTAGATTTAATATTATTTCAAAGATTTATTCTAAACAAATATTTATCTTTCATATGTTTGAATCTATTTCGTTTTGTTACTAGTATTACTAATTCAACATCACTAGCAATCAAATTCGAATTTAAAAAATGAGTTCGTTCCTACGAGTGAATAACTTCCCAGTAGAAATGAGTCATATGTTTTTCAAATTTCATCATTGCCTTGCTAAAAAAAATTAGTATCAACTTTTTTTGTAATCTAAAATGTAAAGTAATGTTGAATATTTTCATATTTCAGCTTAAAATAGTTGCTTCTTTGATCTTGAAATAATTAAGATAACGAAAAATAGACATTTGAATTATTGAAGACTATTTCGTTTTAGTCGTTTTTTCTATGAAATATATTTTTTGCGCGAGAGACAATAATTGACATCAAAGTGAAATAATATTTATTGAGATTAGAATATTGTACTTGCTTTTATAAGTTTTAATGATCGAGTTTTGTTCGTTTAAGAAAGCAAGTGATTTCAAGCAAAATGAAACGTCTTCATTCTCTCAATGGCATTCGTTCATTGAGCTACATTCAATTTATTGAAGGTTCTCAAAGCATCAAACTTAGCAAAGAGAAACATGCTTCTTGGGTTTTCTGTAAATTGTATATAGTTCGATAAAGAAAGTCAAAACGTCTAATTTTGCTCAGACGCTTTTGATTTGTCAAATAAAACCTTTTCCCAAAAGCTTTAAATGAAAGCCAAAAAACTGATTTTGTTGGAGTCTTCGAGTTTATCAATCATAATAGAGGTTATAAACTTATATCCGTGACTATAGAACAAGACCTAGCCATGGTCATTCATAAGCTATAGAAATTTGTCTAATAGCAGTAATCAACCGACATATTCGTAAAAATTTCTGCATTACATCAAACTTTATTTTAACAGATCTTACTGAATTCTTTTTTTTTAGTTATGATATACTGAGACCATTTATGTCATTTCATGTTCAATCATGATCATGGTTTATTGTTTTTTCGGAACAAAACAGTTTCATATACCACGTTACAATATACTTGAGAATGAAATTATGACTAGTGAATGTGAACTTTAACGAATTAAAAATCTATATGGTCGTGTTATTGAAAAGCGATACTACTACTGTCAAATAATATATATTTGTTTTTTTGTTATAGATTCTTTTCGCCTATTATATTTCTTTATATTTAAAGTAAACAAAAGAAACAGTGAAATAAGTTTTGCTTTATAGATATTTATTTTAGTAATTAAAAATGGGTCGAAAAAAAAAGAAACAAACTAAACCTTGGTGTTGGTATTGTAATCGTGAATTTGATGACGAAAAAATTTTATTACAACATCAAAAAGCAAAACACTTTAAATGCCATTTATGTCATAAAAAATTATATACTGGACCCGGTTTACAAATTCATTCAATACAAGTATAAAATTTTTTTTTTTTCATTTTCATATAAATTCTTGTTTATTTAGGTGCATAAAGAAAATATTGATAAAGTACCTAATGCAATTAAAGGCCGAGATAATATTGAAATTGAAATTTATGGTATGGAAGGTATACCAGAAGAAGATCTTCGTCAACATGAAAAACGAATTGCTGGAAAAGATAAAGATGAGCCAAATAATACTGATACTATAAAAGTACCTCCAATAGTAGGTATGCCACCAATGCCACCTTTAGGTGTAATGACTGCTCGACCAATGATGCCCATGACTTTTACGGGTATACCATATGGTATAACATCGATGCCACTTCCTATGATGCCAGTATCTATGATGACACAATTACGACCACCTATTCCTGTAGTTTCGACAACAGCAGGAAATTCTGCCACTCTTCTACCATCGAATCCAATTATAGCTGCTGCTCCTACTCCTGCTAAACCACTTTTTCCTAGTGGAACTACTGATGTAAGTTATGTTTATGACAATAAAAAATAAGATTGTTTATTGATATTACTTGAAATTTAGGTAAAGAATGATGTTAATTCTTCTTCTAATATTTCGACAATGATTTCGACTGCAGCAACTATACCAAATTTATCAGCTAATGCATCTGGATCATTGTCAAGTAATAAACCGAAAATAGAACCTGTAGCCGGTGCTGCTGGCACGGCTAAAATTATTCATCCTGATGAAGATATTTCATTAGTAAGTTTAAATTTTTAATATAAATATAAAATAGTCTTTGGTGTCTATTTAGGAAGAATTTCGTGCTTTGTTGCCGAAATATAAACAAATGATGATGCCACAACAAATACAAATGCCACCAATGCCAGCGGGTCTTCCTATGACCAATTTTATACCACGTATGTCTTTTTGTTATTTTTCTTTTGTTTTTTTATTTACTATAAAACATTTCTTTCTAGCTCCAATGCCTGGTTTACCATTTATAGTACCACCAACAGGATTTCCTCCAATGGCATTTAATGGTCCACGTTTTTGATCATTAGAACAATGTATGTGAATGTTTGTTTCATTCTTGTTTTCTCTGTTTTGTCTCACGGAAAAATAAGATAAAAATTTGAAAAGATGAATAATTTTCATCGATTTCATTATCTTTATTTCTCTCTCTCTCTCTTACTTTCGTTGCAATCGGTATTTCTTCAATTTCGTTATGGATTTCTTTTTCGCTGTCATTTAATGTTTTGTTTCATTTTGTGTCTAAATGTACGTTGATAAAATCATGAACGAGAGAATATATATGCATTTCATTCTTGATTTATATATATATATATATATATATATACATATAACTAATTATCGATTTGTATCTGACTTTTCTAGGCTGCTTACGTGTGAATAATGTGCTCGTGCGACGACAGACATAGACTCCATGTCAGGTCGGTCCTTCACACGACGCCGTGTCACAGTAGAAGCAGCATCATTCTATTGAATTTTGTTTTAATAAAAAATTTCATTTGCTGCGAGCACTGTTGGGCTGTTTAATAAGTCAGCCCCTAAGAGAGAAAATTTACTCTCTTGGTGACATACTTTCAATTGAAAACGGCGATCATTTTTTGTTTTTACTTTTATTTATTGCTGTTTTTGTTTTGCATGATTTATATTATAGGAATAATCTAAAAACTATTCGTATGTTAGTAGGTAAATATTTTTTTAAAATTCTGTAGATTTTATAAAACAAAAGAAAAGAAAAATGAGTACTCTTAAATTGGCATCACCTGCTTCGACACGAATTGGTTTTATTGGAATAGGTGTTATGGGTACTTCAATGGCTGGTCATTTAATAAAAGCAGGTTATAAATTAAATATATTCACACGTACTGCATCTAAAGCTGATTCACTCATTTCACTTGGTGCTTCATTATTAAAAACACCACGTGAAGTTGCACAACAATCAGATGTTGTTATTTCTATTGTTGGTTATCCTAAAGATGTCGAAGAAGTTCTACTTGATGATAAAAATGGTGTATTAACTGGTTTTGAACCCGGTAAAATATCAATTGATATGACAACTTCAAAACCATCATTAGCTGTACGGATTTATGAAGAATTCAAAAAACGTGGTGTATATGCCCTTGATGCACCAGTTTCAGGTACATTAATTTAGAAAAAGAATTTTCGATTTTTGAAACACAAATGATTTGAAGGAAAATATTTACTTCCGAGATATGAAAGTTAAAATCACTGAGAGTCAAACTAAATCAGTTTTCAATAAACTAATGATTACTCAATAGATTTGGAAGTAATATTCTTCCATGACGAATGACTCCAAATACAAGTCATCAAAATTGAATTTTATACTAAACAGAATCTTTTCGAAGACAAGATTTAATAGTATAACTAGCAGTTCATGAAACGATAATGAGATCGATAAGTATGGAAAAAATTTCAAAACTTCAGGTATATACAATAGTGGACAAAAGTCCTCGTTCACCCAACAGATTTCAGCTTCCACACATGCATGAAGTCTGAAAATTTATATGTACATACTCTACCAAAAATGTAGATGAGAGGCATGAGGTCACTCTCATAGCTTAAATGTAACGAGAATTATGATGGATGACACCTATTTTTGCTTCAAACATTTTATTTTGCAAAAGCTGTCTATTAAATTTTGCTTTATCTTTTATCAAATACATGACTTAAAAAATAATGTAATTTGTTACAAGATTGCTGTCTCTAGATGTCTTTGAACTGTCAGCACTAATACAATGGCTATTGGCATGCTGTTTCTCTTTAAAAGAAAGTTATTTTTTGACACTTATAGACAATAATTTTCACCAGAGGCAAAGCCTCCCTAAAGATCAAGCTCAATTCAATAAGGTGTTACTGAGCTACCATGTACATATGGCATCAGGAAGTTTTTCTTCCCTCTAATAGCTACAGTAAAATGTCCGTCATTCTAAGAAAGATTTATGGACTTCGGTGAAATTAATAGCGTGAATAGTTGGAACATAGCCTTAAATAATCAGAAACCGGCTAACCTATAGAAACTTTTCTTTTCAGAAGTATACAGTTCAAAGAATAAATGTGTTATAGATTACTATTCATTACAATTTTCGTTATGTTTAAGTAATCGGAACTAACTGATGGCTCTGATCTAGATTCTTGGTGGATAGTGTGCACACAAATTGGCTGATCTGTAGTACTTATGGTAGCTGAGATCTTACGAAAGAGACTTTTTTTCACTACTGGGATTAAGGTCTATAGGTGAAAGAGATGGAATTGGTTCTTGTATTTTTTATAAAAAAAAATTTTTTTGTCTCTTAAATATATGATGGTGTTGGAGTCAAACTATTGAAAAGGAATGACTCCAACACACAAAGTTGTTTCCGGTTTTTCAATATGTCGATCCGAACACTGTGATTTATTTGCCCAATTTAAAAAATCCTTTTCTATTAGAATGAGCAGCAAAGAGAGTTCTATAATCTCTGATAGACGAAAAGTTTCTTGAAATCAATTTGTTTTTCATGAAATATGATTTATAAGCTTCAATTATATGCCTTAAGTTTTGGAACATTCGTTACTTATCTATCTCACGATCATTCTATAAAATGCTACTTATGTTTTTTGAAAATGTTTTTTAACGTGGTAAAAAATTCAATGTTGATATCATTTGTATTTGTAGCTATATTCTCTGGAAAAATATAACTTCGAACTTTGTGTCATTAAGAATTTTTTCGTTATTTATAATCAAAAAGAGCATGAAAGACTATGAATGATTATAAGAGTTTCTTAGCAAAGTATTCGAATCATGGTTGTAAATTTTCAACCAATATAAACTCGTTCATCACGATAATTTGAACACATAATGGTTCTGACAGTCTATTATCAGTTAGTTCTTTCTGAGTTATTTTATCAATGGCTACGTCAAAGTTTTATTCATATAAAAAAACAAATATTTCACTGATTATTAAATTTTTATCGTTAATCTATAGGTGGAGATATTGGTGCTAGAAATGCAACACTTTCTATTATGGTTGGTGGTGATCAAAATGTTTTTGACGCTTGTTTACCTATATTTAATGTTATGGGAAAAAATGTTCGATTAATGGGTAAATCAGGTTTTGGTCAACATACTAAAATGGCTAATCAAATAGCTATTTCATCTGGTATGATTGCCATGTGTGAATCACTTCTTTATGCTCAACGAGTTGGTCTTGATTGTGAAAGCGTTATTCAGGTATTAAGTTCTGGTGCTGCGCAAACATTTTCAATGACAAATTATGGTCCACGTATACTTAAACGTACATTTGATCCTGGTTTTTATGTTGAACATTTTATTAAAGATTTAGGTATTGCATTAGAAGAAGCAAATCGAATGGGTCTTATTTTACCTGGTTTAATACAATCAAAAATGCTTTATGATATATTAGCTGCTGATGGTAAACAAAAATTAGGTACACATGCTTTAATGTTGGCCTTGGAAAAATTAAATGGTCTTGATAAAACAAATGATGAAGAAAAGAAATCATAATGTTTCCTATTTTAGTTTCATTCCGTTTCTCTTTCTTTTGTGATTGTTTGCCATTTTGCAATATGAATGCGGAAAAAAGATGATTTTGCAATGAATTAGAAAGTTAAGAAAAACTATTTTTTCAATAAATCGATTTCAACTTGCTTTTCAAAAAGAAAAAGAACTATTGAATACCAATTTTTTATTTGCAATAAAATCTATCGAATGAATAAATTTTGATAGGAAAGAAAAATGTTGCATTGACAAGCACTTAACATTTGAAACCGTCTGAATAGAAAATATAATTAAATATCTAGCAAATACTGCATAATAAACGGATCAAATTGTTTTCTTCTTTCTCTTTGTTTTTCAAGTAAGTTTTTCTTTGTCTATTCAACATTTAAAAAATGAATACCTATGCAATTGTCTAACTGCGACGATCAAAAAATAAAAATGTTTCATAAAGATTTCGCTGAAATTTCAAATATGCTACCATGTTCTTCGGACAAAACTGCATATTTCGATATACATTTTAGGGTTTTAAAAGAAATATATGCAATAAAAATTTTTGTAGTTAAAAAATGTGGAAAAACAGGAAAAGTCCTTTCGTTTTCTGGAATGCACCTGAAATTATCACTCGCTGCTGGTTCAAAGCCTTGTTTAATCTGAACAGTAGCAGTAGCAGAAACCTTAAAAAGGTTGTGGAAGCAGAGATTATGAAATTTTCTCTCCATTGAAGCCATATCCTTTATTTTTAGCATCGCTTCTGATAAGATGAAGCTAACATAAATCGATAGAAATCTACAAACAAATTGGAAATCGCAGTTAGCCGATTGAGTAAGTGCTCATCTTTTAAATTTTTCAGCGCTAAAGAAAAATTTATTAGAAAAACAAAGACAGTAGATTTGTAGATCAGCAAGCTCTCTATCGAATTAGCTTAAAACGAAGTCTTTAATGCGTTAGGAAGTGCTCTACAAAGAGGAAACGTTTTGAACCATTTATTATGTGCTACCCATAATGTTATAACAGGTACCCAAGAGAAAATCCACTCAATTCGCATGAATCCCTAAGAAAGTGCTGTATTAGTAAAAATATGAAAAAAAAAGCTTGTCTTTTTATTTTTCTCTGTCAAGAGCAGATATTAGCGCTGTTACTCATTCGCTCACTATGAATCACTTCGGTTATTTCTGTTCTTGTTGTGTGGTATTTAAGTCAGAGAAAATTTATTTTCGCATACATATAGGAGACAACAGTATCATAATGTGATGTTCGAAGTAGAGGAACATAACTTTAGAGACTATACGTTTATCGATGTGTATTACAAAGAACTATGTGCTCAGAAGATCGACTCGAAGCAATCCACATTGACTCATTATGACTTACTGCATGAGCAATTGGCTTTTAATTTTAAACTATAATCATATTCTTATCCTAACATACAACGAATAGCGATCCGATTCATTCACGTGTGCTACTTGAATATTTTTGATGCAGATTGTCATTACAATATCTTCCATATTCAAAAATATTGCTATTAAATGTTAAAAAGGAAACTTGATAAAAGTATTTTCAATATTTTTACTAATGCAGCACGTTCTTAAGATTGTTGCATATTGAGTACTATTGCTCTTGAATGCTACTTTTCAAAAAAGATATCATCAATCCTGTTCATCGTTATATCCGGCAAAGATAAAAATAAATAAATGAAACCGATAGTTATAGAACACTCTTTATATCAATGTGTCTACTCTCTTACTGTCATGTGCAGTAATGCTTCATTGAAAAGATACTGTATTGAATAAAAAATTCATAGGTCAAACAGAACACTTGGAAATTTCCAACTAACGCAAAAACAGCTACAGTGATTTAGTCAAAAGAATAACGCAGTAATTTTATTTCTACCCCATGAAATAGGAGAAATCAAGTTGGAAAAAAGTTTTTTTCCCAGTTGATAATGCTGATAAGCGATTAGTTGTGGTGTCTGAGTATTTTTCATTCAGATAATAATAAATACAGGAGGATATAGATGAGTAAAGAAGCAACAGTTTCAGTATTGAGTTGGAATTAATTATTGTAAAATTACTAATTTTGTATATGTTCACATAGATAAATAATTCCGTCCCATTTCTTCTTCACGCCTAATTCCAAACCAATTCTAAGAATTGAAACTGATGTAGTCCTACATATGATCATTAATTGAAGCATTGATTAAATGAATAACATTAACACTGATATTTAATAAATCATTTTGACTTTTCTGTTTTAGATTTTCATCTGCAAGCATATTTTTACTTCTAAAATTGAACTTTCAATAGACAATTGAATAATATTTGATAAAACAAAACTTGTGAGTAGAACCAGATTTTATTGTAACACAGGAAAGTTATTTCCATGTTCATTGGCAATAATTAAGGTAGATAAGGGGATCATTCGTTACAAGTATACGGATGTGAATGTCATTGTTGATGTGAATGAGGATCTTTTATACATCGTCACCCACATTCACATGCATAATCCTTTCCGACCAAATGTTGCCATATGGCAACATTTTTTCCTATAGGGGTACGGCATTTTTCAAATAGCTGACCGAAAAGGGATAACCACACCCCAAACTTACCTAAAATGTGGAGAACGTTTCTCGTATCGTCGAGGTGACTATCCTATTCTGATTAGAAAATTTCATTGAGAGTATCAAAGTATGATTCGACTGGGCTCAGATCCACAAATTTTGCACCCGACGGACTGTAACTCTCACCCAACCACTTTCGATGTTCCTTCAGAACACTTGAAGACTACCGTGTCATACAATGAATTGTCGTAGCACCATTAAAGTAAGTGATTCGAACAAGATAAAACGACATTGTAAGTATTGGTATTTTTTGTATCTGAATATATTTTGTATGTGAAGCATTTTTCTAGATACAATATGTTCATCATTTCTCTATCCGTCTGGTGCTTATGATTAATCTCATATAAGAGCTTAGGTTTTGGACTTGATCTATCCAAATGTACAACTACAAAAGATCTCTCATTTACATTAAGTACATCAATAAAAGATAGCTTGATTGTTTTCTTCATAGCATTAATAATAATCGACGATCGTTTACAATCTTTCTTTTGTTGATTATTTTTAATTCTTAAACTTTCGATATAGAATTCTGTTTCATTATCTGATTTCAAAAACACTAGTTATTTGTATCTTTGAATTTATAGATAACTAAGATAAATGATTCGTCCAACAATATGCTAAACCTGTCAAACGAACAGATTACGATCTTTTAATGATTTCAGAAGATATAAATAGCAGCTAAAGATTAAGCGATAAATCATTCCATTCATTTTAAGAACCTATAGAGATTTTATTCTGTGAAACTCCTATATTTTGTAACTCAAGCGTCATCGTCAGATAAGAAATCGATAAACAAAAATCTAGAATAGATTTTATTTTCCCCTTGAGAGATGTAAGTTTTGTTGTTTATTTTTTGATCTAATTGAATTTTTAACCATTTATCAACTTTAAACTGAATTTTATGAGATGCTATTATTATTATTTATTTATCTATTTGTATCGGCTAAAACTCATTATAATCCATAACCATGACAACATAGCCACAAGCTATTGTTGTAATTAATCCATATTTTATTTGAAAATTGAATATTTCATTTTATAACTAATAAATAAATAGTCATATATAACTCAACTATTAGTAATTGATTAATGTATTAGAGGACAGAAATTGCAGTTAAACATGACAGTAGACAAGGTGGATATGGTTTTGTTCAAAGTTGCCTACTTTGCTCACTATGTAAGCATCGAGAAATTTAAACGTATCTCCACCGGCCTGCCTCAAAGACTGCGACAAACATGTCGATGTTCTTTTAACTTTTGGCAGACTGTGATGGAGGTATCGATATGTCTGTCATAGTTTGTCCTATAGATTATTAGGTATCCGACAATGGTTAAAGTAGCTCATTTGTGTTTAATATTTTAATACTGTAGGAAGAAAACTGAAAGCTTTGTCTTCATTATCTATTTCCATAAGTTTTTTCTCTTTTGACATCTATCGATGGATAAAAATATTTCATTCGGGTACAACTTTTATATTAGTTTGGTACACTGACGTAATACTTGTGAGACATAGAAATTATGAATCAGCTGTAGATCAGAGACCGTCACAGGGCAGGGCAAAAAAATTTTGCCCTGTACTCTGATAAAAAGTTTTTGAAAAATCTAATTCTAATCGATTTTGTCTTCGTGTGAACTACTTAGCAAAAGCTAAAGCTTATGTTCTCATAGAAGAAAAAGCTTCTTTATTATTTATTCTATCGTTATTTTATCAATATGAAGATTTTATCAATCTTAAGTTTTGACTAATAAAGATATATTTTTTTTTATTTACATTTATTTTTCAAATATAAAGAATTTCTATTTTTATTTTATAAAGATAAAGATTTTATTTATATTTATCCTTTATTATAAAGAAAGGTAAAAATAAAGTAACACCCTTAAGTGGAACAGAAGAGTACACAAATTTAATTTGTCAGTATTTTGATTTACACGAGTTAGTACTAATCACTATCGCACTTCGAAGTATGGCGCGTGTCACAGTTTGATCTAGTGTTACACTTATCAGTATAGAAGGATGAGAAATTCACAAAGAAACTGAAGTTTTCAAATTAAAAATCCAGAAAAATGCGTTTCACACGCATTGCGATTAAAGAGGATTAAAGTTGAATAATCTTTTTAAAATAGAAACACTTTAATCAAGTTTCAAATGTGAAAAAGTTCATTGAAATTAGATTTTTTTGAAGTTTTAACACGGGTATTGTTCTTTAGCATACGATTTTTTTCATTGTCAACTGGGGTTTATTTTGACACTTTTTTGAACCTACATGAATAAAATTTTAATATCAAACTTGAAAGCAGCCACATAATTTTTATCAATTTTCGAGATCTTTTAATAAGGAAACCCAATTTAGTAGCCTTGCCTTGCCCTGTCCTGCGGGCAGGGCAGGGCGAA